AAAAATACTATAGGTGACTGCACGTCAGTGGTTTGACTTGGCGCCAGGTTTTTGTTCTTTTCTGATGTTTCTAATGTGTTTGGTTTTATAGTTTTAATACGGTTTTTATTCTGCTTTAACTTTTGAGTGGGAACAGCCCAGAGTTAGTTATAAGATGGGTAGTCCTTGACTTACAACCAGATAGTCCTTGATTTACAACCAGTCATTTCATAGTGTTCAAAGTTACAGCGGCACTGGAAAAAGTGTCTTATGACCAGTTCTCACACTTATGACCGATGCAGCATCCCCACAGCCAGATGATCAGACTTCAGATGTTTGACAATTGGGATGGTATTTACGATGCTTGTAGTGTCCCAGGTTTAGCAATGGTGATTTGCAATCTTCTTAGGAAGGTTCTAGGAAGCAAAGTCAATGGGGAAAACCAGATTCATTTAACGATCGCATGATTCACTTAACAACTGTTAAATTATTTGCTTAACAATCATGGCGAAAAAGGTCATAAAATGGGGCATGATTCACTTAACAATTGCCTTGCTTAGCAACAGAAATTTTGGGCTCATTTGTGATTGTACATCAAGGATTACTTTATAAATGTTTTAGTTAACAGTGCTGGAAGGGATCTTGGAGGTCTTCTACCCTGTTTCCCCAAAAATAAGACCTCCCTGGATAATAAGCCCAATCAGACTTTTGAGCGCACATGCTAAAATAACTCCCCCCCGAAAATAAGCTCTCCCCAAAAATAAGCTCTCCCCAAAAATATTTAAATGCATGCGCAGCTGGTCCCCGCCATTTCCTCTGGTTAGGATTAGGGAGACAGAGGTGGAAATCAGATAAGATGGCAAGAGGAGTCCTGCCTTGCTCCATATGCCTCAAAATAATAAGACCTCCCCAAAAATAAAGCCAAGTGCTTATTTTGGGGTTCAAAGAAATATAAGACAGGGTCTTATTTTTGGGGAAACATGGTAGACTAACTCCCTGCTCAAGTAGGAGACCCTATGCCATTCCAGACAAATGGCTGTCTAATCCAGTGATGGGATTCAGCCAGTTCTCTCCCAATCACGTGAACTGGTAACGGCGATGGCAGAAGGCTTCGCCCACCTGACCTGACGCAGAAGGACCCAGAAAGCCATGTGCATGCGAAGACGAGGTGTGAGTGAGTGGAGCTAGCATGCATGTACGCTCACATTTGCAAACTGGTAGGGAAGGTAACTGAAACTCACCGCTGGACCAATATCTTCATAAAACCTCTGGTGATGGAAAATGCACCTCTTCTGGAAGAAAGCTATTCCATTGATTAATTCTTCTCACTGTCAGGAAATTTCTCCCAACAATGGTTGGATCGAGCTTGGATCTCTCTTTGATGACCTTCCATCCATTACTTCTCATCCTGCCCTCAGTGTTTTGGAGAAAAGATCAACCCCCTTATCTCTGTGAACATCCCCTCAAATATTGGAAGTCTGCTATTATGTCAGCCTTAGTCCTTCTCTTTAGACTAGACATACCGCATTCTTGTAACCGTTCTTCATAGGTTTTATCCCCCAGTCCCCTAATCATCTTTGTTGCTCTTCTCTGCACTCTTTGTAGGATCTCAACATCTTTTTTGTATTATGGTGACCAAAACTGGATGTAGTATTCCATATGTATTCTATCTGAATGATTTGGGTATTCCATCTGAATGATTTGGGCATATTTTCTTCTCTTCAGTAGTGCACTTTAGTCTTCATATATAGCCATTTAATAAAGTTAACACTTGAACAAAATCTCAGTGAGGACTCTGAAGTGGTAGATACTCCATGCTGACTATTCAGTTGTATTAGACATTGAAACTTCTCTCTTGAGGTATTTCCTACTTAATGATATTCAAGTGATGGCACTTGGAGTTGGAGTTATGAATGGAAAAGCAGAGCCGGGGGGATGGATTAAATATATTAAAAATTGGAAGGTGAAGTATAGAAGACATGTACATTTTTTTGTTTTTGGCATTTCATTTGTTTATAAATGTTTGTTTATAAATGGTTGAGTGAATTATATTGCTTGTAGAAATGATGTAAAATTAAAGAGAGCACAAATATCTGGAATAATACTCATTAGAATATAGATAAGAAAAAGATTATAAATTACAATCTATTGTATGCACACTGCTGAAGTGTCTTCTGATTTAAAGCATTATACAATATGGAAATAATAAGACGATATGCAAAGAGAAACCCATATTTTGTATATGATAGAAATCTACATAAGGAACTATATTCTAGGAATGACTTCCAAACTGAATGATATTCTGCATCAGATTTACTTTTAGACAGAAGGTTGTTTTCAGTAACAAAGCAGATTCTCACAAGTTAGTCATTTATCTACAGAATGAAGTCAATTTTCCAATGTAAAGCATTGGATATCTTCACAGCAGTTAAGATATCCAAAGGTGATTCAGGAATAGTATCCCAAGCTATATTGCTTCTGTTTTCTTTTAATGACCCTGTGATAGTAGCAATAACAGTAGCATTTAGACTTATATACTGCTTTACAGTGCTTTACAGCCCTCTCTAATTGGTTTACAGAGTCAGCATATTGCCCCCAACAATCGGGGTCCTCATTTTACCAACCTTGGAAGAATGGAAGGCTGTGTTAACCTTGAGCCTGGTGAGATTCGAACTGCCAAATTGCAGGCAGCCAGCAGTCAGCAGAAGTAGCCTGCTCTTTAGTAGGGTTGAGTCGAAGCAACTGAATGAGCTGAGCGTTTACTGGCCAGATGACCTTCCTGATGCCTACACGGAGTTCATAGCAGATATTTCCTCTTTGCGCCCAGAGAAAGAAATACAGTACCTGTCACTACTTAGGATCGAACTCACAGCCTCCTGATTGTGAGGTGAGAACTCCACCATATTGTTTGAATCAGCGTCAAACAAAGAGATTCGGAAATTCAGAAGATGAGAAATGTGCTTTTCTTTCTTACCCCAAGTTTGTTTAGTGAATGCTATCAGAATCAGTGCTGAAATGGGGGGAAAAAGGAGATTTCAGTACAGAAAGGAAATTTTGATCACGTGATCCCGGGGATGTTGCAAAGGTCGTAACTGTGAAAAATCATCATAAGTCACTTTTTTCAGTGCCATTATAACATTGAATGGTCACTAAACGAACTGCTATAAGTCGAGGACTACTTGTACTTTTGGGGAGATCTGTCATAACCTTGAATGGTAGCTAAACAACCAGTTGTAAGATGAGGACTAAGTATATAACCAGTGTTGTGGGTTTTTTTAATGCATAAGAAATAAAGCTTTCTGTATCCCTAATATATTTTACTCCAGTTCTGCTTACTCAAATGGGTAGATAATTTTCAAAAAATGATGGTAAATATAATGATCTGATCAGAAATTGTTTTTGTATTTGGTGAGAATGTGGTAAGGCCCAATAATTCCAGAAAATATTTTTCAGGAGAATGGGATAAATTCTAAAAGTTGAATTCCTTTTCCAAGGAACATTTTTCTGCAATATTCTTAATTTTTACTAAACCACGTATCCACATAAGCTATACTGAATCTCCTTTGGATATCTTAACTGCTGTGACGATAGGCAATGCTTTACGCTGGAAAATTGATCTCATTATGTAGATAAATGTCTAACTTGTGAGAATCTTGCTTTCTTACTTAAAACAATTCTACTATCACTCGATTTGGAAATCATTTCTCAAATACAGTTCCTTATGTAGATTTCTATCTTATGCAAAATATAGGTTTATCTTTGCGTAAATCTTTATTATTTCCACATTGTATAATGCTTTAAATCAGAAGACACATTAGCAGTGTGCATACAACGGATTGTAATTTATAATCTTATCTATATTCTAATGAGTATTATTCCAGATATTTGTACTGTCTATTTTTTAAACTGTTTTAACATTTGGTGAAGTTATAAGATAAGACACAAAATACAACAGTAAATAGGAAAGCAGTGAGGAGAAAGAGGAGGAAGAAAAGTGAGGAAGGGTTAGGGGAAAGAAAAGAAGAAACATTGATTTTCGACTCTCTCTCTTACAGTAGAATAAAGCATTAACATCAAACCACAACTTTTTGTTTTTTCATAGTAATATAAGCTAGCCATTTCTATAAGGAGCTATCAATCTAATGGGTAAAACCCAAAATCAAAGTTTCATTCTTTTCCATCTCAAGCACAAAATTCAGAAGCAGTCTCCAGGTGGAAACAAAGGTACTTATATTCTTTTCTTTAATCGAAGTAATCAGTTTTGCCATTTCTGCCAACTCTATCAGCTTCTGCAACTATTCGCCCATGGTGGGAATCCAAATGTCCTTCTATTTATATTTGTATTCTCTTTAATTTTACCTCAGTCTGCCATTTTTACAAGCAGTATAATTCACTCAACCATTTGTAATAAACAAATGAAATGCTGAAAAGAATTCATAGCTGTAAATCTTTTCTGTACTCTGTCCATTTCCTTGATAGTACAGTGATCTAAGGCACCCTGTTATTAAGCTGGTTATTAAGACCAGCTGCCTGCAATTACTGCAGGTTCGAATCTCGCCAAGGCTCAAGGTTGACTCAGCCTTCCATCCTTTCTAAGGTAGGTAAAATTGAGGACCCAGTTTGTGGGGCAATAAGCTGACTGTATAAATATACAAAAGGATGAAGGCTATTGCTGAGCACATTGTAAGCCGCCCTGAGTCTCCGGAGAAGGGCGGCATATAAATCAAATTAAAAAAAAAAATAGCTGTAAATCTTTTCTGTATTCTGTCCATTTCCTCCCCCCTCTAATTTGTGCATTTGTTCTTTCTTTAAAACGCCACTTTCGCTCTCTGAATAAAGCTTTCCTCACCAAAAGTAAGCACAAAAGGGAGACACCACAGATTTCTAATGACGTAACTACTAACCTGGCCTATCATTTATAAGAAGACAGTGCCCGATTTTCTGTTTATATGGTAGCTCGGAATACACAAATCAGCATTCGGGTTTTAAATGAGATACGACACCTCCCACAAAAGACTCTGGCTTGGAGCTCAGGGACTTAAAGCTGCATTGATAGGAGGCCACTTCTATTTTTTATTTTCTTTTAAAAATGAAGATTAAATACAAAGCACCTTCTGGCAAAAATATTCTCCCATTTGTGGGAGTGGGCGGGTAAGAGGCATTAGAATAGAGGCCTCTTTCTCTCTTTTGGTAAAATCGTATTCTTTGTTGAATCCCATGTCATTAATCTCACAACCCACCCAAAGTGGAATGCCCAGTTCTCCAAGGGACATCACAAGAAACTCGTTATTGCTTTAAATGAAATAAATAAACATTCATCTGGAAAAAATTAAAATGCCAATTGTTCCTTTCCAGCTCTGGATTCCAGACGGGCGTGCAGTCAACTAAAAAGGAGAAGTGAAACGAAAGCACAGAACAAACACTCTCCGTCTTTGCAAAGGCAAGTTGAATACGCTGTTATGAAAAGCCATTTCTTCCTTCTTGTTTTTCCCTCTCTTTCTTTCTCTCCCTTTCTCTAAAATCTCCACTAGAATTCTAGCCCCCCACGTGCTAGAACAGGGAAGAAGTGAAAAGCAAAACAGAGCAAGAAGGAAGAAGAGACTCTTTTCGCAGAACTGGTCATCCGGAATAGTAGACCTGCTTGTCTGAAGAAGGAGGGGTGGGTAAGTTTCTCTCTCTCTACATATATATCTAATCTTGATTTCCCAGCAATGGTCAACCGGATAGCAGGAGGACGGCTGTGATGATAAGACACATCAAAAGACAATTGCAGATTAAAGATGAAAGAAGGGAAGGAATGTTGTTATTCTGACTTCTTTAGAATACAAGAACAAGGGAAACTTGCTCACAGAACAAAATCAACCATGGTGGATTTCTAGCTGTTACCAAGCTATTAAGATAGAATCCATGTTCAGAAAAAGGCAAGTGGCTAACTCTAAATAGGAATGGATGAGATGATGATGATGATGATGATTGTGATGATGATGATGATGATGATGTTTTCCTTCCCATTCTAACGGCTGCATGGGAATTCTGCAACAAAGCATCCTAATGGTGACTTCCATAGCTGTAGTACTGCATCTAGTTTTGGTCATCACATTACAAAAAAGGACATTGAGACTTTGGAAAAAGTGCAGAGAAGAGCAACTAAGCTGGTTAAAGGCCTGAAGGCTAAAACATATGAAGAACAGCTGCAGGATTTGGGTTTGGCTAGCCTAGAGAAAAGAAGGACTACGGATGACATGATAGTATTTGAAGGGCTGCCACAAAGAAGAGGAGGTCAACTTATTTTTCCAAAGCACCAGAGAGCAGGACAAGAAGCCATGGATGGAAACTAATCAAGGAGAGAAGCAACCTGGAATTAAGGAGAAATTTCCTAATAGTGAAAACAATTAACTAGTGGAAGAACTTGGCTTCAGAAGTTGTGGGTGCTACATCACTGGAGGTTTTTTAAGAAAAGACTGAACATCCACTTCTCTGAAATGGTATAGGGCTGTGATGGCGAAACAATGGCAAGCGTGCCGGAAGTGACATGTAGAGCCATCTCTCTGGGCCTGCCAGCTGTTGCCTGTTGCTCTTCACGTGTGTGTGGGAGTGCCAGAAACCGGAAGAGCAGCTCCCTGGCGTGCATGTACTCCCTGGCTGGCCAGTTAGTCTTCATGCTGCATGCGCACCAGAAACTGGAAGACCAAGTGACTGGCACACATGTGCATCCTGGAAACCGGAAGCTCAGCTTTCCGACATGCGCATCCCTGCAGGGGAACTGCTCTTCCAGTTTCCAGAGCTGCCACGCATGTACACTGTGGAGCTGCTCTTCTGGTTTCTGGTGCTCCCCTGTGCTCAAAGACCAGCTGATCGTTCAGCTGGTTTTTGGGGTTCTGGCTTTCTGGCACACGCATGCACATGTGTACATTCCGGTTTTGGCACTTGGTGCCAAAAAGGTTCGCCATCACTGGTATAGGGTCTCCTGCTTGAGTAGAGGGTTGAACTAGAAGACCTCCAAGGACTAATAGAACTTCCAGTTTTCTAACTCAAACAGCTGCTTCATTATGGCGCCTATGTTTTCATGTGTATGGAATTGGAATGGAATTTCCTTGGTGGATCATTATTCGTCAGCTTTATCCAAATGTGCACTATATGAAGCTTCTGGACCATTTGTGGTCCATTAAAAATTGGAGACTTCCCAGTGGACCTCCAAAATTAATATCAAATAATGTAGTGTCCATCATCACCTAACCTGCTCTTTCTTGTGCCTAGAAAGCTGCTTTAATGAATATTTCCCAGCTTCATTTTAGGAAAGGTGTTGTTCAAATTTTCTGTGATGTTTTGTCACACCTCCAAATCCCTCCTCTAAACATCTTTTGCTTTTTTTTCTCTCTCCTCAGGACGATTCAGAAACGAACTGCTTAAGAATAAGGAACTCTTTCTGGGGATCATGCCCCAGCTTCATCTCTTCTTCATGGTTTACCTTGCTTCCTTCCATTTCTCTCTCTCCTTCCACAACAGTGAATGCGATACATACCTCGGACATGTCTGCAAGAATCATGTCAGCTTCGTACCAGGCCATAATTACATCGGGGAGGGAGTTGATATCACCACTCTGGAGAAGAAAGGGGCTTACGTGGTGGACATCAGCAAGTGGCAGGGACCCAATGGGACATGTACTCTCTGTCGGAATCATAAGATGGGTGAGCAGCTGCAGAGACTTCCCCTGGTTGGGGTGGATTGGCGGCAGAAGGAAAACTGCCAACAACAAGCAAGCAACTTTGTGGATGAGTTAGATATAGATGTGGCCAACGCAGTAGCCAAAGAAGTGAAAAATGGCTGGGAAATGGAGCTGGCTGAGGATTTCATGACGGAGGACCTGGGGTTCTTCAAAGCTCAGGTTGCTTTTGCTGGCTCTCACTCTAATACAGCCATTTGGGCATATCAGAAAACCCGCGAAGACCGATACAGCTTTCTGAGGAATGAGATTGCATGCGAACATTACAGGTAAGCATCGAAGCACTTCGAAGCATAAATAGGGAAAGGAGGAGCTGCAGTAGCCAATTTGCTAGAGAGGGGGAAAAAAAAACTTTTCAGGAGATGCTACGGAATTTGAGTTTTCCCCCAGAGGAAATAATTTCATACATTGAAACAAATTTCAGCTCCATCCTCCTGAACTGGAGTTGACCAGAAGGTATTGTGGAACATGAGGGGTCCTTCATGCTCTCTGAGCTTGGTTGTTTTATTGCAGACTTTTCATTACCCAAATTAGGTAACATCATCAGTGCTAAATGTCTATGGAGATTCTCAGTCATTCAGGTCATGGTTATCCCAAAAGTGCTTCATCTTTTCAACCCTGAACTACAAATATTCTCCTTTATTGTGGAGCATCCAATGGGCTATGAATAAAAAGTTGCTTAGCTCATGATAGATCTCAGAGGCTTGGGGTTACTATTGTTCAACTACAACTACCAATATCAGCTATTGGGACAAGATGCTTGATGTGTGTTGATGGCATGACTGCAATTACCTCAGAAGACACTGGCGTCCAAATCCATTCATTCTTGCTTTAGGACTGGTTAGGGGAACGAATTAGTCTTTGTCATCCTGACAAGTAATCTTTATTCAAAGACCAACGAGATAGCTGCTGTCTCTCCATAATCCCCCAGACGCTTTTGGTATCACCAACTACAAGGTCCTCTTTGATAACATCAAAGTTGGAGGCACCGTGTTGCTGTATTCCCATTCAAAATTAGTTTGTGGGGGAGTGGATTGAAGGATTGTGTTACACACTCATGGAAGTTAAAATGAGAGATATCCCAAGGCAACTTTGACCGGTTTTATTTGATCTCTGGTATGAATCTATCAGATGTGTTAATTAGAAGAGTCTGTTTAATAGGCATAATCAAAATGTTGAAGAAGACACACTATATTTCTTCATTGCATCTGAGTGCACAATATGCACAACCCACATTGGTGTTTGGATGCAAATACAGGAAGTCCTCGACTTATGACCCCCAATCAAACCCCAAATTTCCATTTCTGAGCAAGACAGTTGTTAAGTAAATTGTGCCAAAATTTACGAGCTTTCTTGCCACAGTTGTTACATGAATCGTTGCACTTAAATTAGGTTGTTAAGTGAATCAGGCCTCCCCACTAACTTTGCTTGTCAGAAGGTCGCAAAAGAGGATCATGTGACCTGAAACACTGCAATCATCCTACATAAAAGTCAGTGGCCAAGCATCCAAATTTTGATTACGTGACCCTGAAGTTGCTGCAATGGCCGTATGAAAAATGGGCATAGGTCACTTTTTTCAGTGCTGGTGTAACTTCGAACGCTCACTAAATGAATGGTTGTAAGTTGAGGATTGCCTGTAACAGGATGGATGGTAGGCTGTAGCTGAATGTACCCAAGAATGAGGGTTGTGGCTATGAGTTTGATAACTGCTGTGTTTGAGATGGGATTTCTGAAGATCTTTCTGGGATCATCTTAAGCATCAGAATTTCAAGGGCTCTCCTCACCAAAGATACTACTGTTTGAAATGTGCTTGAATTCCATGTTTCTCTGAAAATAAGACCTTGTCTTATATTTTTTTGAACCCCGAAATAAGCACTTGGCCTTATTGCAATGTGCTCAAAAGCCCAATTGGGCTTATTATTAGGGGATGTCTTATTTGGGGGAAAACAGGGTATTAGTAGCTCGGGTTGGTAGCTGGGCTGTTGCTTTGAGCTCTGAGCTTAGCAATTTGGCGGCAAATGTTTCATCACCATTCGAGGAGACATTGTCAGTGCGCTTTGAATGACGAGCACAATTCAAAGTACACTGACAATGTCTCCTTGAACGGTGACAAAATGTTTGCTACCAAATTGCCAAGCTCAGATCTCAAACCATCAGCCCATACTACTGTTTGCTGAGTAGCTACAACCAATTTTAGGAATAAGGTTGCTATGCTCAGTTCATGTTCCTCGTTTTGCTTCCTCCAACACACTTCATTTCCTGGCTCCATTTGGAGTAAGAGGGGGGGAATAGATAATTAATCCAGGCAACTAAATCCCAAAGGAGTAAAATTTTACCTCATGACAAGCTCAGTCATGGACAGGGTTACATTCCATCTCGTCAACTGAGTTAAAAAACACCCACACAAATGCAACTAGGGACATATTGTTTGTACTTAGTTCTCAAAAAAAAAAAAGGATAGAGATAAGGGTTACTTAAAAAGAAAACAAACATTTCTATTAATGGACTCGCTGCCAAGATTTAATAGCAACATAGACTGAGTGAGTTCCACAATGCCAGCCAGACCATGCCATTATGTCTTGCTTGTTTACTAGTACAGATATGGAGCTCCGCCAGTTATTTGGGGGAAAGTTTCTTCGGATGCCAGATACCTCCTGGAGGGAACAAGGAGAGGCTCATTATTGAGGAAGTCCTCAATTTATGACCACAATTGAGCCCACAATTTATGTTGCAAAGTGAGACATTTCGTGGAGGGGTGGGGCCAGCCAGCAATTTAACAACCCGTTTGCCCGAACCAGCTGAACTGGCCCAAACTGGCTGAATCCCACCTCAGGTCATAAGTCACTTTTTCCAGTGACATTGTAACTTTGAGTTGTAAGTCAGAGAGAGAGGGGGGGGGGAGGGGGGGCGGGGAGGGGGGGTGTGGGAGGGAGGGAGAGAGAGAGAGAGAGAGAGAGAGAGAGAGAGAGAGAGAGAGAGAGCGCCTTGGTAGTACAGTAGTCTAAAGCACCCTGTTATTAAGACCAGCTGCCTGCAATTACTGCAGGTTCGAATCTCGCCAAGGCTCAAGGTTGACTCAGCCTTCCATCCTTTCTAAGGTAGGTGAAATGAGGACCCAGTTGTGGGGGCAATAAGCTGACTTTGTATAAATATACAAAAGTATGAAGGCTATTGCTTAGCACATTGTAAGCCGCCCTGAGTCTCCGGAGAAGGGCGGCATATAAATCAAATTTAAAAAAAAAAAAAAAAGTCGAAGACTATCTGTATAGAGTTCTCCTTATTTACAGTTAGTCCTCAACTTTAAATCATTCATTTTGTGACCATTCTAAGTTACAACACACTGGGTTGTTTTTACATCTATGATTCTTGCAGCATCGGCAGGGTTACGTGCTCAAAAATTTTGGACGCTTGTCAACTGGCATGTATTTAGGATGGCTGCAGTGTCCCAGGGTCATGTCATTGCCTTTTGAAATCTTCTGACAAGCAAAGTCATGGAGGAAGCCAGATTCATTTAACAACCATGTTACCAATTTACCAATTACAGTGATTCAGTTAACAACTCTGGCAAGAAAGGTCACGAAAAGGGGCAAAGCTCACTAAACAACCTTTCTTCCTCAGCGATGGAAATTTGGGGCTCAATTGGGGTCAATTGAGTCAAGGACTACCTGTATTTGTTTGTTTGTTTGTTTGTTTGCTTGCTTGCTTGCTTGCTTGCTTATTGATTGATTGATTGATTGATTTGATTGATTTGATTTATATGTCGGCCAATCTCACTATCCAGCAACTTGAGGCAGCTTACAATGTCGAAAATAGCAGCATAAAAGAATTTTAAAAATGAGAATAAGAATGTTACGGCTAAAACCCTAACCTAGGGCTAGGTTTTTCAGAGAGATCCATTACCACAAAAGATGTGCAAAACTGCCCTGATTCAGGAATGGAATAGAATGTTCCAGAAAGCTCCAGAATGTCCCTTCTGGTTCATGCCATTTAGGGGGCAATATGATGGTATCTGGAAATAAATCCACTGTGCTGGAAGCAGTTTGAAGAGTTGAGGATTCCAGATTAATCAGCCTCTTCCAGGGCGAAAACAATTGAGACCCATTTTTGGTTAAGAGGATATACTTTTGGAAATGAATTCAAATCACCCGTGGACAGGTATGATCTGATGACAGACTTCAAAGACCACAATAAACCACAGGATGAAACCTTCAGACCAGGGGTGAAATCCAGCAGGTTCTGACAGGTTCTGGAGAACTGGTAGTGGAAATTTTGAGTACTTCGGAGAACCAGCAAATACCACCTCTGGCTGGCCCCAGAGTGGGATGGGAATGGAGATTTTGCAATATCCTTCCCCCAGGAGTGGGGAGGGAATGGGGATTTTGCAGTATCCTTCCCCTGCCATGCCCACTAAGCCATGCCCACCAAGCCATGCCCACAGAACCGGTAGTAAAAAAAAATTAATTCCACCACTGCTTCAAACCCATAACAAGGAACTTGGTTAAAGTAAAAATTTTACAGATACAATCTAGATAGGTAAAGAAGTAATTACAGACGGGAAAGTTGGTGTCTATAATAGATATTTATTGTACCGTGTTTCCCCGAAAATAAGCCCTTCCCCCCAAAATAAACCCTTGCCTGAAAATAAGCCGTTCCCAAAAATAAGCCTTCCCTGAAAATATTTAAATGCATGCACAGCCGGTCCCCGCCATTTTCCCTGGTTAAGGTTAGGGGGAGAGAGCTGGAAATCAGGTAAGACAGCAAGAGAAGCCCCGTCTTGCTCCACGTGCCCCAAAATAATAAGACCTCCCCAAAAATAAGTCCAAGTGTTTATTTCAGGGTTCAAAAAAATATAAGACAGGGTCTTATTTTTCGGGAAACGCGGTAGGTGACAACTGATACTTATTGTGGGTTACCTTTAAAATAAATTGCAGCTCTGGTACTCCAGAAAGAAACAGACAACCAGGTTCTGGGTACTTCTTGACTTACGACCACAATAAATGTCCATTATTAAAGCAAGACAATTGTTAAGTGAGTTTTGTCCCCTTTTACGGCTTCCTTGGCCACTGTTGTTAAGCGAATCACTGCAATTGTTAAGTGAATCATGTGTTCATTAAGCAAATCTGGCTTCCCCTATTGACGCAGCTTGTCGGACGCCAGTTAGGAAGGTTATACATGGTGATCGTAGGACCTAGGACATACCAGTTGCCAAGTGTCTGAATTTTGATTACGTGACCACAGGAATGCTTCAACAGTTGTAAGTTTGAAAAATGGCCATAAGTCACTTTTTTTTAGTGCTGTTATAACTTTGGTCACTAAACAAATGGTTGTAAATTGAGAATTACTTTGTATAGACTGTTATACACTCAGTAAAGTATTTGTTGGTGTCATGATGGAAAAAATGAAAAGGAGTCCCCCATTTTCAGAGAAACTTTTCAAGATTAGGAAAGGGACACCAGAAAATATGTTTTCCAAACACCACATGAAACGTAGCAGTGCACCCCTACCAGTAGTGGGTTTCAAAAATTTTTACTACCGGTTCTATGGATGTGGCTTGGTGGGCGTGGCTTGGTGGGCGTGGCTTGGTGGGCATGGCAAGGGAAGGATACTGTAAAATCTCCATTCCCTCCCCAATCCAGGGGAAGGTTAGTGCAAAATCCCCATTTCCTCCCAATCAGCTGGGGCTTGGAAGGCAGAGAATAGACGGGGGCAGGGCCATTCAGAATTTTTACTACTGGTTCTCCAGAACTGGTCAGAACCTGCTGAAACCCACACCCATTAACTGACCATCGGAGAGCATCTGATCTTAAAGCATGGTTGTTGCATCATGTTCAGTGGTGTGATTCAAATAATTTAACAACTGGTTCTCTGCGCTAATGACTGGCTGCATAGGTGTGGCCATGTTGGGTTTGGCCAGGGGGTGTGACAGGCACTCAGCCTCCTGCACGCCCCTGGTAGCAAAAACAGGCCACGGGGGGAGGGCGCCCCACACCCTTGTGCCCCATTTTGGGTTTAGAAGACCTCCCTGAAGCCTTCTGGGAAGCGAAAATGGGCCTAGGAAGCCTCCTTGAGGCCTCCTGGGAGCGAAAGAGGGCCATGGGGGGAGTGCCACCCCCCACCCCCCTGCACCTTGTTTTGAGTCTAGGAGGCCTCCCTGTACTTATCTGGGAGCCAAAATGGGGCACGTGGGGACTCCTAGAAGGGGTGGGTCAGCCTGTAATTTAACTACCGGTTTGGCTAAACTGGCCCGAACCAGCTGAATCCCACCAGTTATAATGTTCCTTTCTCATGCTGAATGCTGAGGCAAGAAATGTGATTTGGTATGCTGCCTTTGACACAGAACTGTCCAATTAGCATACCCAAAACAAGAAACACTCTTTGGAAAATTGGAATTTATTGGATATACCATGTTGGTACTGAAAAAACAAAACCAGCTCTGGTTTCCCGCACAAATACCTGCCCAGTTAAACAATACTTTCTTCTTCTTCTTCTTCCCCACCATTGGTGGATCACATTGTCCAATTATGAGATGTTCTTTTATTATGGGAACAGTCCATCTCTTTCTCAAGCACCTGCAGTGTGACCTTGATGGCTTCCATGTTTTCACGATCTCTGCATACATTCTCCACATTCCATTTCCCCCTTTTCCTCCCCCCCCCCCGGTTCATTGGCAAATTGAAAAGCATTAAGGTTTGAAAGAAGCAAAGTGGCTCCATCGTGATATGCTGACAATATCCTGCATTTTTCATTCTTTTCCTTTGCAGTTTGAGGCTTCAGACGAATCCTCTGCTGTCCTTCCATTTTGCTCAGACCATCGGCAGGTTGCCCCCCAATCATGACCCTGAGGAATACCAGCATTTCATCAATATCTACGGCACCCATTATATCAACCGGGTGTATCTAGGTGGACGAGCTCGTTACTTGATGGCTTTGAAAACTTGTGTCATGACCTTAATGGGGCTCACAGCCGAGAATGTCAAGGTCTGTTTGGATATGGAGACAAACCTGAAACATAGAGGGCTTTGGGGATCTATTTCCTTCCATTCCAAATGTGCCAAGCTCTGGTTCGGGAAATCTAAATCCAGCTTCCACGACCTTCATTTGACCCAGCACACAGAGGTAGTTGGCGGTCACAAAAGGATGCTCTTCTCGGAAAGCAGAGACGTGCACCATCTCACGGAATGGATCGAGAGTACCAAAAGGACACCTGGGTTGGTGTCTTATTCCCTTTTACCTCTACACACCTTGTTGAACAAAACAGACCCCAGGAGGAATTTTTTAAAGCAAGCCATTGTGAGCTACATTAGAAGAAGGGCCCTAAGGAGGGACTGTCGCCAAAGCTGTCCCAAAAACTTCAACAGTTGGGTCCGAAAGTGCACTTGCATGTGTATACCCAACGGTGTCATCAACGACAAATGTTGTGGCACTGAGGTAGGCAGGGCTTACCTCAGGTTCCATGTACACAGCGGATCCGGTCTTTGGGGCGACTATTTTTCCTCCACCGATGCCTACGTCAAATTTTTTTTCCAAAACCAGGAAAGGCGCACTAGGGTCATTGGTGGGAACAACAATCCTCAGTGGTCAGAAAATCTGAACTTTGGGGCTGTCACATTGGATGGCAATGACAACTTTGTGATGGAGGTTTGGGACAGCGAAGTCTGGCATGATGAACTCTTACATCGATGTCGTGGGAGGCTGAGGTCAGGCCTTAGCAACTGGCACAAATGCTACCTCCCACATGGACACGTTAGGTTCTATTACGTGTTGACGTGTGCCCCTACTCTGACCGGGTCCAGCTGCCATGATTATATCCCTTTGCATCTGCCAACCTCCTATTTCAATGACACTAATCCTGACTGGGAAACTTCATGGTCACACAAATTTCGTACCTAGCTACTGCATGGGTACAGCTCATACTGCTAAATTAAGCAGGGGTGGGCTTCAAAAATTTTAGCAAGGGGTTCGCTGCCTGGTTGCTGGGTGGGTGTAACCATGGTGGGTGTAACCATGGTGGGTGTGGCCTAGTTGGCCTCCTGCACCATGGCAGGGGGGGTCCTTTTTGCCCTCCCCTGGCTCCGGAGGCTTTCCTCGAGCCTTCGGGAGGGCAAAAACGGCCTCCCCAGGCTCTGGAGGCCCTCTGGAGGCTGGAAATGGGCCCATTTCTGGCCTTCCTGAACTTCCGGTAGGCCCATTCTTTGCCTTCCCCAAGCCTCCACATGCACCCTGCACTTACCTGCATCCAAAATGGGTCACGTGGGGACTCCTGGGAAGAGAGAGGAGGGGTGAGCAGGCAAGCCAGGAGTGGGATTTGGGAGTTCTCCGAACTGCACAGAACCTTAGCTAGATGTTCTCCCAAATCCCTGCGAACCCCCAGCAGCCCACCCCTGAAATTAAGGCATTATTCAGATTTGGAAAGAATCTAATAGGAATCCCTATCAATTTTCTTCCATACAACTGGGAAAGAGTTATCGAACAGATAATTTCTAGAAAATGTACTCTTGTCTTCACCTTCCAGCCCCAATTGAGCCTAACATTTCTGTTGTTAAGTGAGAGAATTGTTAGGTGAATTCTGCCCCATTTTATGCCTTTGCTTGCCACGGTTGTTAAGTGAATCATCGCGATTGTTAAGTCAGTAACACAGTTGTTAAGCGAATCTGGCTTCCCCATTGACTTTGCTTGTCAAAGTTCTCAAAAGATGATCACATGACCCCAGGACACTGCAACCAGTGGTGAAATGTAAAATTTGTTACTACCGGTTCTGTGGGTGTGGCTTGGTGGGGGGGTAATATGACTGAGTGGGCATGGCCAACTTTTTTTTTTTACTTTTAAAACCATTTTTTCTACAATCTCTTCAGCTGAAGAGGTTGTAAAAAAAATGCTTTTAAAGCCTCTGACGATCCCAGCTGACTTGCCTGATCCGCAGAGGCTTTTTTTCCTTTTAAAAGCATTTTTTTCTATAACCTCTTCGGCCGAAGAGGTTGTAGAAAAAAATGCTTTTAAAAGCCTCTGACGATCCCAGCTGAGCCACGTGATCCGCAGAGCCTTTTTTTTTTAACTTTTAAAAGCATTTTTTCAGCTGAAGAGGTTGTAGAAAAAATGCTTTTAAAAATTAAAAAAAGAAAGCCTCTGATGATTGCGCGGCTCAGCTGGGCAATGGTGGGGGGAGGGGTGCAGGGATTTTTGCTACCGGTTCTCCGAACCACCCGCCTCCATCGCTACCAGATTGGGTGATCCGGTCCGAACCGGCAGCATTTCACCCCTGACTGCAACTGTCATAAATATGAACCAGTTGCCAAATATCCACATTTTGATCACATGACCATGGGGATGCTACAACAGTTGTGTAAAAAAAACCGGTCATGAGTCACTTTTTTCAGTGCCATTGTGACTTCATATAGTCACTAAATGAATAGTTGTAAGTCAAGGTCTATCTGTATAAATATAGGTGGGCTCAATCATTTCTTTCTTCTTAATGCCTTTGTTATTATTCACTCGCGCTTTTTCAAGTGGTCCAATTATACCGTGGACCAGGTATGTATCAGGACCACATAGTTGTGAATTTGTAACATGACATGGGCCCCTTTTTGCAGACGTCATAATCACAACCTGTATGGATAGTATTTTTTTGTATTTATAATTAGAGAAGTAGTAGCATGCTGTGAGAAGTTAATTCAACATATTTTCATGTGGTTCAGAGAAGGAACTATTAGGAACCCAGTCCTGTTATCAATACTTAAAGGAGCTGGATATATACATAGCTTGCAAAAGAAAATGCTAAGCGAAGATGTCTATGGAGATTCTCAGTCATCCAATCACAGTTTTTCCAAAGATGCTTTTTTTCCAACTTTGTTTCTTTGCTTTTCCTTGAAGACATTTCGCTTCTCATCCATGAAGTTTCTTCAGTTCAGTTCTTCAGAACTAAAGAAGCTTCTTGGATAGAAACGAAATGTCTTCAAGGAAAAGCAAAGGAAGTCCAGGTGTGCCTCTTGGAAAAAAAAGCATCTTTGAAGAATAGCATTCTTCAGATCTTGCAGGACCACCTTCTACCGGCCTCCCATAGGCCAGTGCGCTCACATTGGACTGCCCTCCTCCGGGTGCCATCAGCCAGACAATGTCAGTTGGTGGCGCCCAGGATGAGGGCATTCTCTGTGGCCGCACCGACCCCCTGGAACGAGTTACCCACTGGGCTCCGAACGGCCCCTGACTTCCGCTCTTTCCGCAGTGACCTGAAGACATGGCTTTTTCAGCAAATCTTCTGATCTATTTGGGAGCTATAGTTTTAATTTGGGGATATTAAATTGGATTTTTAACATTGTTTATTGTCTTGTTTTATTGCTGTGAGCCGCCCCAAGTCCTTCGGGAGAAGGGCGGCATATAAATATTATCAAATAAATAAATAAATAAATAAATAAATAAATAAATAAATAAATAAACAAACAAATAAATAAATAAAATATACAAAAGGTTGTCAGATTAGAAGAGTGAGCAGATTTACACTAGATTTGAGGAAGAACTTTCTACCATTGAAGCCATCTTTTCCAAGATGTGGAATGTTATTTTTCCACTGGAAGCCTTCAAATAAAGGCTGGAGAGGAATCTGTCCAAATTGTAGGTCAAATCTTGGACTAAGCAGGATATCGGGCCAGGTGACCTCCAGAATGTCTTCCTATGTATTCTATGCAATATTGGAGACTGTAATCTAACATTAGCACAAAGTCCCACTGTGCCTAGAATTAATTTCCCAGATTTATCATCGTGACAAATCCCTTTTTTTCCTATGTACAATACATAGAACTCTGAAACGTATGGTTCCTGCAAAAAGGACACCTGCCATATTTTCAAGGATGAGTTGAAAATAGAGACGGGAAAAGTCCTGACCTAACTACACATCCACATAAAAGAATTATCTTCTGTCAAATCCTTCCTATACTATTCAATTTAATTATTCACTTCTAATAGATTCCATCCTTCTGAGGTGGGTAAAATGAGGACCCAGATTGTTGGGGGCAATATGCTGACTCTGTAACCCGCTTAGAGAGGGCTATAAAAAGCACTTTGAAGTGATATATAAGTGCCATTGCAACTGTGTTTCCCCGAAAATAAGACCCTGTCATATACATATACATATACATATACATATACATATACATATACATACATACATACATACATACATACATACATATATATATATATATATATATATATATATTCTCAGGTTTTCGCGGGTGTTTGTATGTAGGTCTTTGGTTATTCGGGTCTTCTCCCACGTAAAATTGGAAGTGTCTTGGCGACGTTTCGACGAAGTCTCATTCGTCATCTTCAGGCTGGTGTTCTCGGCTTCGTGCTTCCAGGAGCAATGGAACAAATATATATATATATATCTGAAATAAGTACTCAAAAGCCTGATTGGGCTTATTATCAGGGGATGTCTTATCTTGGGGAAAACAGGGTATTTCAGAAACTTTCATACAATCTGCAAAATACATATAAAACATAAAGAAATAAATCTTCAAATATGTCTGTGGTGTATGCTTTGTTTGGATTTTTTTCCCCCATGTCATACTGTTGTTTTAGAAAACTATCCTTTGCTATTCTGATCATAAAGTTGATTTGTACAAATTCATGGGTTTCTGTAGGACTAATGAGCATTGCATAGATAATGAATGCTAAGCCTGAAGGCCAGTTTTCATGGATGAATGCAGTGATAGGATTTGAGTAATTTAACAACCGGTTCTCTGCCCTAATGATTGCTTCCAACAACCAGTTTGCCAAACCGCTCAGAAAGTTAACAACCGGTTCTCCCGAAGTGGTGCGAACCGGCTGAATCCCACTACTGGATGAATGGCCTGGTCTTCCATGCCATTCCATGCAGTGGAGAAGGAATTGGGCTTCCTCTAGTGAAAAGAAGGGGAGATACGATAGCAGTCTTCCAATATTTGACGGGCTGCCCCAAAGATGAAGGGGTCAACTTATTCTCCAAAGCACCTGAAGGCAAGGCAACAAACAATGGTTGGAAACTAACCAAGGAGAGAATCAACCTAGAACTAAGGAGAAATTTCCTAACAGTGAGAACAATTAACCAGTGGAACAACTTGCCTCCAGAAGTTGTGGGTGCTTCATCACTGGAGGCTTTTAAGAAGAGACTGAACAGCCACTTATCTGGAATGCTATAAGGTCTCCTGCTTGAGCAGGCGGCTGGACTAGATGACCTTTAAGGTCCCTTGCATCTCTGTTATTCTGATTTTACTCCACTAGTTCAGATGAAATTTCTCCTAAATTGTTGTCTCCATCATGACGCTCTGCAGACGTCCTCCAGAAGAACGGGAGAAATAGAGCAAATGGATGGCAAAACCTTTTACAAAATAACGTTGAAGTACAAGCAGGGAAAATACTGGGGGGAGACTAGTCTGAATTGGGTTATGAAGCTGGCGGTGCTTCACCTCTTCCCATTGTACTCAAAGCTGCCGGCCGTGAGTCATTCCCAAATCCCCATCAAGCCACTGAGACATCCGCGGGGAGGAGCCGGACCCCTCGCCGCTTCTCCTGCCTCAATTCTAGGGCTTGATTGAGACCCGCATTGCTGGGAACTCACCCACCTTCAGAAGGCGGCACCCTGCTAGGGTGGCAACTTGGCCCTTCCCTCAGACCTTCCCAGAGGCGGGAGAAAGGGTGATGGACACCCAGCACGTGGCCTCTACGGAGAGCTTCCTCCCAGCAATTATCTACTACTTTCACTCCATACCTTATATAACCACTAATGCTCACTCTTCAGAAAAGTTAGGGTGGCTATTGATTCATGCCCGATGTCATTGGTATCAGTTGCAAACACGAGAAAACTAGATCCTTTCACTAAAATATACAATGCTTTACAAATTGTAAAACGCGCCTCTCGGGACAAAACAGGGGATGGAGAACGGATATTTCTAGTTGGAGCGGCGACCATCATGCACTTCTTCACATATGCAAATCTTCACATATGCAAATTTTCCCTCTTCTTCTTCTTCCATCCGAGCAGGTTTCAGCCAATGGATGGCCGAGGATCGCTTCCGCTCCTCCTCCTCTTCCGCGCGGATTCTTTTTTTTTTTTTCCCAGCGTCGTCGCGCATATGCAAATTTGACGACTGCAAATTGAAAAGGGGCGGAGTCTTCCCGGATTGTAGAACGTTCCCGGGAAGGCGCCTGCAAGAGGAAGGCGGAAGGCTTTATCCAGGGTAGCGCGAGCGGAAGTTGCCGGTGAGTGCCCGGTTGATTGCAAAAAAGCAAACACGGAGAGAAGCGTTCGCACGAAGCGGGAAGCTAGTTTTGCATTAGCGTCAAGGGGAGGGGAGATAAGGGGGGCAAAGTTGCAAAAACTCTTGTTTGCAGTAAAATAAACCTTGTTAAGAAATAGACGGGGTCGAGGGTAGGCGCGTTTTGGTGGCTTGTTGGGGATTTGGGAATAGGAGTCAAGCAAAGAAAAGTGGGGAGAGGAGCAAAAAATGCATGCTTAAGGTTTCCCGGTGGACTGAATAGGTTTCAAGTAAGCTGGCTTTTTTTTTTTTGCAAATTTTTATCTTCTATTTAAATAGTTTATTTAAAATTTTAAAAATACATTTTGCAAAATTTAATCAGGATGGGTGAATGGAGCGGACTCTCCCGCCGAAAACGAATCTGAATGTGGGCTTAACCTGATGAGAATATTCACCTGCTGTTCTGATTGGGATCAGGGAAGTTCTGAGCATGTGCAGAGTGTACAGTACAGGTAGTCCTCGACTTACAACCACCACTGAGACCAAACTTTTTCTGTTACTAAGTGAGGCATTGGTTAAGTGATTTGTTTGTCCCCTTTTACAGCAGTTAAATTAACAGGGTTAATAACAGGGTTATTAAGTGAATTTGGCTTCCCCATTACAAAAGGGGAGCATATGACCGTGGGACACTGCAACCATCGTAATTATGAACCAGTGGCCAAGTGTCTGAATTTTGATTCCATGATTGTAAGGATGCTGTAATGGTTGTAAGGGCGAAAAAGTTTTCCGTGCCATTGTAACTCCAAACGGTCATTAAATAACTGTTGTAAATTGAGGATTACCTGTAACTCCCATGCAACTGGCCAGCCATTGCTAATATTGCTAAAGATCACTTAGAAGCCATAATAAAAGGGTACAGTACTAAGAAAAGTGGCTGGCAAACCATTTTGGGGGGATAGTAAGTTTCAAGAATAGGTATCTATAGAGATTCTGAATCATCCAGGTCGTGGTTATTCCAAAAATGCTTTTTCTAAAAGGCAACTAAAAGGGTTTTTTTCTCTCTTTGAAAACATTTTGCTTCTCATCCAAGAAGCTTCCACAGTTCTGACTGGTGGGGAATGGAAGGATTTATATTCTTTACAAACATTTAGACCTTAGCACTCTGAAGGTTGATTGTTAGGTCTCTGCCAGTCCTTGAGACCACTTGGGCCTGGTAAGATTCAAATTTCTGTGGGTGTGGCACGGGAAGGATACTATAAAATCTCCATTCCCACCCCACTCCAGGGGATGGTTACTGCAAAATCCCTGTTTCCTCCCGATCAGCTGGGACTCCGGAGGCAGAGACTAGATGGGGGTGGAACCAGTCAGAGGTGGTATTTACCGGTTCTCCAAACTACTCAAAATTTCCGCTACCGGTTCTCCAGAACTGATCAGAACCTGCTGAATACCACCTCTGCACTTGGGGGTTTGTCTGTATCCTCAGAGTCACCTGAATCAGAGTTCAAATCGATGTGGGACCTTCTTGAGACTGTGTTGTAAGCAGGGGATAGATTGTGTTGTATCCCTTCCCATTTGTTGAGGGAGGGCTGTTCTATTTTAACATAAATGGCCTCTTGGAACTCCTCTTTCAAACAAACAGGTGGTTCTCTCTGTCCTGAATGTGAATTTGGCTGTCCTCAAAAGCGTGACGCTTGCTTTTCAGATCCAAATGGACTGTTGACTCCTGTCCTGATGAGTTTGTTGTGCTGTACCATGCGTTTGTGAAGTGGTTGTTGTTTTGTTTCCCCAATGTCTGGTTTCCACAAGTCTGGACTTGTCTGGTTGCATTGCACTGCATATACCACATTGGTGTTTTCAGAGGACCTGATTTGAAAGAGGAGCCAGAGGCCATCTATATTAAAATTGAATAGTCCTTCCCAGTGGTGGAATTCAAATTGTTTTACTGGTTCTGTGGGCATGGCTTGGTGGGCGTGGCTTGGCTTGGCAGGTATGGTGTAGCTTGGTGGGCATGGTAGGGGAAGGATACTGCAAAATCCCCATTCCCACCCCATTCTGGGGCCAGCCAGAGATGGTATTTGCTGGTTCTCCGAACTACTCAAAATTTCAGCTACCGGTTCTCCAGAGTCTTCTGAATAGCACCACTGGTCCTCCCTGAACAGAGGGAGAGGGATACGACACACTCTATGTCCTGTGTAGAATGCAATCCCAAAAATTACACTCTCGATTCAGGTGACCCTAAGAATATAGATAAACCCCAGAGTAGCCTCAATGACTCTGAGAGTGTTAACAGATGGCTGCAAAGAATATTCATCCTTCCATTGCCCATTAGTTACAATTGAGGAAGCTTGTCGGATGAGAAGCGAAATGTTTTCAAATTAAAAACCAAGAAAATCCAGTTGCTTTTTGAAAAAAGCCAGGAATGAAGTTTCAGAAAACCCTCATAAACACACTGCACACCTATTAGGAAATTTTACCACTGAATAGATGAGAAAATAGATAAGAAAAGAAATGTCTTCTTGTATTCCAGTGGGAAAGGGTGATTATATCAATGGTAGTGATGGAAAAATAAGTTGTAGGGTATTTACAAAACCAGTGGCTTTATTATAGGGGGGAAAATAGCAAAAGGGGTGCATTATAATGCACAAATCCACATAGGCTTGTTAGTCTTCAAGCAGTCACAAGGAACACTTAATTACAGACTCATTTCAGACTTGTAAGATGATGTATTTGCTGCAAGAACCTGAAATGTTTCAAAGCCCACTCTCTTGATGATGCTGAATGCACACTCTGCTCCTACAAAACCATCCGTAAGTGCCTAAAAGGCCTGGTTAAGTAATTCTCACCTGATTCAAATCTGCAACACATTTGCCCAGCAGCTGAAAAAAATGCTTTTTACAACAGGTAGTGAAAAACGCTCTTACGGGAAGATAATAATCTTGTGGTTCTCTAAAGATAGCAAGGTTATTATGACATTCACTTTGGTTTTAGAGGCAGGAAAAACAGCTTGCAGATAGGCCTTGATTTACAGTGACACTTAAGCTCAAAATTTCTGCTGCCGAGTGAGCTTGTCCAATTTTACGACCTTTCTGGATACAGTGGTTAAGGCAAACTCTGCAGTTGTTAAGTTTAGTCCCACGGTTGTTAAATGAATCTGGCTCCCCCATTGACTTTGCTTGTCAGGTCACCAAAGGGGATCACACGAGCCCAGGACATTGCCGTCGTCATAAGTATGAACCAGTTGCCAAAAATCTTGAATTTTGATCACATGACCATGGGGATGCTGCAATGGTGGTAAGTGAGAAAAACAGTCATAAGTCAGTTTTTTCAGTGCCGTTGTGACTTTGGTCACTAAACACACCCTTGTAAGTTGAGAGCTATCTATATTGGGAGTTTCTACTATAGCATCTCAAGAATGGCTGGCTACACAGTGCCCAGGAACGGGGCAGACAAAGAAACGCATCTTCCCTTTTGCAGAAATGGGATAATGGTTGCAGCTTAGCACCATGGTGGCGCAGTGGTTAGAAGGCAGTATTGCAGGCAAACTTTGCCCACCGCCTAGAGTTCGATCCCGACAAGACTGAAGATTAACTCGGCCTTCCATCTTTCCGAGGTCGGCAAAATGAGGAGCCAGATTATTGGGGGCAATAAGCTGACATTGTAAACTGCCCAGAGTGTGCAGTAAAGCACTATGGGGCAATATATGCAGGTAGTCCTCGATGTATAACAGTGCATTTAGTGACTGTTCAAAGTTACAACGACACTGAAGTGATTTACGACCAGCGATGGGTTTCACATTTTGTTACCACCGGTTTGGCCCGCACGCGTGCACACGCACACCCGTGCATGTGCTTTGCTTGTGTGTGCGCTTTCCGCGCACGTGCCTGTCCTCAAAAACATGCCTAAATAAGACAGCATAGCACTGGGGCAGGTGAGAGATCTCTGCTACCAATTCACCTGAACCGATTGAATACCACCTCTGCTTATGACCATTTTTCACACATACGACCTTTGCAGAGTCCCCATGATAACCTCATCCAAATTCAGATGCTTGGCAACTGGTTCATGTTTACAACCATTGATGCGTCCCACGTGATCGCCTTTTGCGACCGTTTTGAAAAGCAAAATCCACGGGAAAGCCCAGATTTGCTTCACAGCCACGTGGCTAATTTACCAACCGTACTGATTCATTTAACTGTGGTGAGAGAGTTGTAAAATGAGTCAAAATACTTAAGAAATGTCTCACTTAACAGACTAAATTTTGGGCTGAATTGCGGTCGTAAGTCGAGGGCTATCTGTACAGTTAGTCTTAAGTGCTATTGTTGTGGTCCGTACGCAGCTACTGCAGTTAGTAGCTGATTCAGACAGCAAGGAGGCTGATGTGGTGCTGCATTGTCCAACTCGAGTGGCACTCGAGTCGGACAATGAGGAGGCTGGAGAAGATGTGGTGTCAAAGGCAGGGATTCAGCCAGGACCTTCAAAACCTCCAGAAGCTCCTTTAAGTGAAGAGGATGGAGAAGAGGAGCCTCTTCTCGATGCACGGGCGCGCAGAGCTGCCAAAAGGCAGGGGTGGCTCCTCAGGAGGAGGTCTCCTCGAGAGTAAGGCTTGGGGCTAATTGGCCACTCCCTTAGCCTATTTAAGGAGGAACGCCGACTGAACTAATTTGCAGGGAACAACTTAGTTCACATACCTTCGTGTCGTGTCTTGCTTATCTTACCAGCTTCCTGCAAATTGCTTCTGGGCATTCTGCCAACCATAGTAAGTTTTCAGTTATTATTCTTTGAATTCTTGACGGCTGTTAATGCAATTAATTAATAGCCATTGTTGTAAAAGACTGGTTTATTCAATAAATTAAGGTTTGAACGGACTTCGTGTGTGCTGCGTTCTTTGGGGTCCGTAGCTGGGGCAGAACAGCTATTGCTATTGCAGCTTATCTTCAGCGCCAGGTTGGGGGCCTCTGAATTGACAACCTGTCCGCTTACGTGTGTGTTGTGTTGCTGTCACAGGGATGAAGAGGAAGCGAATGACTTCCAGAGTCCAGCCTGACGAGGCAGGGACTCAACCTGACCTGCGCTGGGAACACGAGATCAGTGGCAACCAATGGCAGGTATTCCCACCTGAGCAGAGTGAGATCCTGAGCCAAGCAATTCGGTAAGTTGGCTTCCTGGAGGAGGAGGAGAAGTAGAAAAACAATAATGTGGCGGGCCTGGAATTGGTTGGTGAGATTGCAATGCAAACTCTCGTGTTCTCTGCAGGGCACAGAAACTGGCCGAAAACTTAGGAGACGACCAAGTGGACCTGTGCAGGATGTTGCTGCGGAACAAGGAGAGCGGCCTGGAGAACCGTGTCCGTGTGGCTGTCTGTGATCAGAAATCCTGTAAGTTGCTGTCTCTGATTCTATAGGTAGTCCTCAATTTACAGCAGTTCATTTAGTGACCTTTCGAAGTTACAACGGCCCAGGGGAAAAAAAAATCACTGATGACCATTTTTCACACTTGTACCTTGTGTTTTCCTGAAAATAAGACCTAACATGAAAATAAGCCCTGGCGTGATTTTTCAGGATGCTCGTAAAATATAATAAGCCCCAGTTAAAATTCTCAGGTGGACATGTTTAGTACCGTATTTCCCCGAAAATAACCCCTCAGCAGAAAATAAGCCCTCATGCGTCTTTTGGAGCAAAAATTAATATAAGACCCCGCTCTTATTTTTGGGAAAAATACGGTAGCATCCCCATAGTCACGTAAATCAAAATTCAGTCGCTTGTCAGCTGACTCATGTTTATGACGGTTGCCTTGTTCAGGGGTCATGTGACACCCACACACCCTTTGCGACCTGACAAGCAAAGGCAATTGGGAAAGCTGGATTTACTTAACAACTGCGTGGCTAACTTAACAACTGCAGCGATTCGCTTAACAACTGTGGCAAGAAGAGTCGTAAAATGGGACTAAACGCACAAGAAATGTCTCGCTTAGGAACAGGGAATTTGGGATCAGTTGTGATTGTAAATTGAGGACTGCCTGTATTTATTGCATCTGTATTCTGCTCTTTAGGTCAACATTGCCAGCGCCCACCATAACTGGTCCTGGCCTTTGATTCTCATACAGGGCGGGGTGGGGGGGCGTTCCTTGATTTATAACTCATTTAGGGACTTCTCAGAGTTGAACACCTAGAAAAAAATGACTTGTGTCCAGTCTTGCAACCGTTGCGGCCTTCTCACAGTCACCCTGATCAGAATTCAAATGCTTGGCAAGGGGAACCTATTTATCACAGTTGCAGCTTCCTGGGTCACGTGATCACCGTTGCTGACCTTCCCACCTGTCGTCTGACAAGCAAAGTCAATGGAGAAAGGCGGATTCGCTTAATGACCGCATGGTTTGCTTAGCAACAGTGGCAAAAATGTTAAATAAATGGTCATTTAACAACCATCTTGCTTAACAATGGAAATTCTCATCCAGTTGTGGTCATAGGTTCAAGGACTATATGTCATCCGGAAAGGTTTAAGTAAGCCCTGGGTTTGGACAAAACAACAGATAGTCCTCAACTTACAGCCACATATAACAGAATTTTCTGTCATTAAGTGAGAGAAAATTTTAAAAGTGAGTGTTATTTCATTTTCTGACCCTTCTTGGCACAGTTGTTAAGTGAATCACTGCAGTTGTTAAGTTAGCCACACAGTTGTTGAGTGAACCTGGCTTTCCCATTGATTTTGCTTGTCAAAAGGTCACAAAGGCAGATCACATAACTCCGGGACAATGCAACCATCATAAGTATGAACCAATTGCCAAGCATGTGAATTTTGATCATGGGGATACTAACAAAGGTCGTAAGTGTGAAACGGTCATAAGTTTCTTTTTTTCTGTGCCGTTGTAACTTTGAACGGTCACTAAACTATTGAACTGTTGTAAGTCGAGGACTACTTTATCATAAAACATGGCTACATGTACAAGAGAGACTGGCTGAGCCAGAGGAAGGAGTCAAACAGGCAATTAATCTGGAATCCCTACATGGGCACAAGACAGTGAATTCTGATACTCCTTACTTGCTGATAAACTTTTATTTGGATAAGAGACTACCTGTAAGACAAGCTGGTTTCTCATTTCTCTTCCTATTCAACCCCTGAGAGATGTTTAGCTTTGACTTCTTATATTTAATTCAGTTTCTTTTTCTCCTTTTCCTCTTCTTCGCCCGCATGGGAGCAGATTTCGTCTGGCAATGGGAAGGAGACCAGGAAAATGAGTGGATTCCATACCCTGCTGCTACCTGCTTGGATTTACAGGCAGCCAAAAATGGTGACCGGGAACCCACAGTGGACTTGACATTCGGTCAGAAATGCTACAAGCTGGACACGGCCCGCATGGTGCAGACAAACCAGCAGACTAAATTTGAACGTCGGATGGAATACAAGGAGTCAGGTATTGGAGTCCAGGTAGTCCTCGGCCTACGGCCACAGTGGAGCCCAAAATTTATGTTGCTAAGCGAGACATTCGTTAAGTTTATTTATTTATTTATTCAATTTATATACCGCCCTTCTCCTAGTGGACTCAGGGTGGTGCACAGCCAAAACTAAAATACATAACAATACAAAATTTAAAATTAATTAAAAGAATTATATACTTTGGCCCGAATTAAAACAGTGCGAATTAAAACCCATTAACAAATTAAAACTAAACAATTAATAACCATTAAAAACTAAAAAAGGGGGGCGGGGTTCACACCAGCCCTGCTTGCTGGAAAAGAAGAGTTTTCAGGGCTCGGCGAAAGACCCGAAGATCCGATATCCTTCTTATCTCCGGGGGCAAATCGTTCCAGAGGGCGGGGGCTGCCACAGAGAAGGCCCTCCCCCTGGGGGTCGCCAGCCGACATTGCCTGGCCGACGGCACCCTGAGGAGTCCCTCTCTGTGGGAGCGTACTGGACGGTGGGAGGCTATCGGCGGCAGAAGGCGGTCCCGCAAGTACCCAGGTCCTATGCCATGGAGCGCTTTAAAGGTGGTAACCAACACCTTGAAGCGCACCCGGAAGACCACTGGAAGCCAATGCAGCTCACGCAGGAGAGGTGTCACATGGGAGCGACCCCTCGCTCCCATAATCCCCCGCGCGGCCGCATTCTGCACCAGTTGGAGCCTCCGGGTACTCCTCAAGGGGAGCCCCATGTAGAGAGCATTGCAGTAGTCCAGGCGGGAAGTGAGGAGTGCCTGAGTGACTGTGCGTAAGGAATCCCGATCCAGAAAGGGACGCAACTGGCGAATCGGGCGGACCTGATAAAAAGCCCCCCTGGCCACGGCCGTCATATGCTCTCTAAAGACAGCCGTGCATCCAGGAGGACGCCCAAGTTGCGAGCCCTATCCGTGGGGGCCAATAACTCGCCCCCAATAGCCAGCGTTGGGTTTCCCCCCCACCCCATTTTACGACCTTTCTTGCCACAGTTGTTAAGTGAATCCGTGCAGTTGTTCAGCGAGTAATATGCTTCTTATATTAGATGAATCTGGTCACAAAGGGGGAATCGATCACATGACCCTGGGACACTGCCCACGTCGTAAATATGAACCCGTTGCCCAGCATTTTAGCTTTTAATTGCATGACCCTGGGGATGCTGCAACATTCGTAAGTAATTTTGAATAATCCCTAAATTAACTGTTGTAAGTCAAAAGGGTACCTGTGCAGAAATTTATTGTTATGCTGGGAATTGAACTATAGAACTTCGACCGGGCTCTGTCACTCCTTGCAAGTGAAAATCTATGAGTGTAGATTTGGCCCCGGGGCCCCTTCCCCTCTATCCTTACATAGGAATGGAAACAACAGTTAACACCTCTGTTCCATTCTGCCTTTCCCTTTTTTTTTCACCTAGCCTGGCTAGGTGGCTCAGTGGCTAAAACGCTGAGCTTGTCGATCAGAAAGGTCGGCGGTTCGAGTCCCTAGTCTGGGTCTCCTGCATGAGCAGGGGGTTGGACTAGATGACCTCAAAAGGTACCTTCCAACTCTGTTACTGTTATTCCTCATTCAGATGCAACAGAGGCAGAGGTGGGATCCCTGCTGAGCAGCAGTGATTTGGAGGCCAGTACATTGGTTCCTGCTAAGAAGTCCCAGACTGAATTAGATGCCCCTACATCTCGGGGGCAAGGAGATGGGATGGGTAGGTGCCAAAAAAATTGATTTTGGGGATCAGTGCATGAGGGTGAGATGGAAAGAACAGCTTGGTTCTTCGGAAATAAATACGTGGTGGGGAGGTTGGTAATAGGAACTGCAATTAGGAATCTCATAAGAAGTTAAAAGATAAAAGTTCCCCCTGTCCAGTCACGTCTGACTCCAGGGAATGGTGCTCATCTCCGTTTCTTAGCCGAGGGAGCCAGTGTTGTCCAAAGACGCTTCTGTGGTCATGTGGCCAGCAAGTCTGTATGCCGAAGCACACGGAATGCTGTTACCTTCCCACCAAAGTGGTACCTATTAATCTACTCGCATTTGCATGCTTTCAAACTGCTAGGTTGACAGGAGCTGCAGCCAGTAACGGGAACTCTCCCTGTCGCGCAGCACTCCTCGAACCTAGGCTGTCAACTTTCCAGCTGACAATCTCAGGATCTTTAATCTCCGATCCATTGTTCCTCCCCCATAAGAAGTTAGAGTTGCTGAAATACCCCTTTAATTAAGTGTATTTTGTTTTAAGCCC